GTGTACAAATATTTGTGCACCGGGCCTCTAGTACACACACACACACACACACACACACACACATATATGGTATAAACTAGTATATAAAAGCTGTATGTGGTACATTTACACCATGGTATACTATGCAGCTGTAAACAGGAATCTCTTATCCTTTGAGATAGCATGGAAGGGCCTGGAAAGTATTGTGTTAAGTGAAATAAGCCAGTCAGGCAAAGACAAGTATCACATGATCTCACTCATATGTGGAATCTAATTAACAAAATATACTGATAAAATAGATCCATAGACATAGAAGCATGGAACAGACCAATAAATCTCAGAGGGAAGGTGGGGGTGGGTGGGTAGGTGGGAAGAGATTAACTGGGGAACTTATATGCATATATGCTTAGCCCAAGGACTCAGACAATAATGTGATGAAGGCCTGGGGTGGGGTGAAGGGGGTTAATGGGGAAAAAAAGGGGGGGGGGGAGACATGATACTTTCAACAATAAAGATAAACTAAAAGAAAAAAAATGAATCTCAATCTAATCATGAGGAAATATCAAACAGAAAATGAGGAACAGTCCACTAGAGGGGCTCTATTCTTTTAAAAATGTAAATAGTCTAAAACACAAGAAAAGGCTATGTAAACATTTCAGATTAAAATAGTAAAAGATCCTGCTATAGAGTATTAGGTCAATTAACAAAATATGAGTGACAGATTAAAGTAATGTATCAATCTGTGTATAACGATACATATTAAATTGTGTATAAAGCCCTGGCTGAGTAGCTCAGTTGGTTAGAGCATTGTCCCGGTACCCCAAGGTTGAGGGTTTGACTCCGTCAGGACACATACAAGAATCAACCAATGAATGCTAAATAAGTGGAACAATTAATTGATGCTTCTATCCCCTTCCTCTTTTTCTCCTTCCCCCTCTAAAAGTCAATAAATAAGAATTTTAAAAAATGTATATATACATTATACATCTGTAAGATATATAAGTTGTATGTACATGTACACATATATCTATATATACATTGTGTGTGTACATAATTTTATTTAGATTTAGATAAATGGATAGCTAGGTCACAAATGCTAAAACAAATGGGGTAAAATGTTAACAGGTGAATCTGGATAAAAGGCATATAAGTATTTTTTGTAACTTGATAAACTTAAAAGATTTTCCATAAAGAGGCTTTAGTATTTTTTAATGAAATGTAGCAAACCTTTTTAAATGTGTTGAAAACTTAGTTTTCCTTTTATCTCCAGGTAATATTTAAGAAACAACAACAACCTGTGTTACTACTTACCCTTAAAAATCCTATCTTTGGGATGCCTTGACATCTCCACAGACAGCAAAAAACACCTGGTATTCTAGCTGTGATGTTCTTCCCTAGTTACTGTCCCTCTATTTTCTCTTTCTTTGGGAACCTTTCCTCTGATGCTCAAGCACTTTTTCTCTGGGAACAATGAGAGGTTCTTCTCTTTATCAAGTCAGAAGAGAGCTACAAATGTATGGCCCTTCTACATCTTGGCAATGTATGTGAAGTGAAGATACAGATTTGGGAATCACTAACTTATATCAGAATTGATTCTAAACCTTGCTCCATTCTAGCAATAAGTTGTCATGGACATCTAATCTAATTTTATTATTAATTTTTTTGTGGGGAGGGGATCACAGGAGTCAGCACATCTGGAGTGCAATGGATAAACCTCACCCTGGGAAAACCACCTTCGTAATCATGGTATCTCCCCTGCCAGGTCAGTATATATAAACTAATTTTTAAAATAATAGTTCTATCGCCCTGGCCAGGTGGCTCAGTTAGTTGGAGCATTGTCCCGTACACTAAAAAGTTGCTGCAAGCTCAATTCTCAGTCAGGGCACATACCTGGATTGTGGATTCGATCCCCAGTCAGAAGATGCAGGAGGCAACAGATAAATGTTTCTCTCTCTCCTCCTCCTCTTTCTCTCTCAAAAATTAATAAAAATGTGTCCTCAGGTGATAATTAGAAAAAAATAATAGTAACTATAACTCTAGTCATATAAACTGTTAACATTTAGAGACCTAAAGAAAATTTTCAGCATCTTTTAAAACACATTTTATATATATTTTTTGCTCCAAAATAAATACGACAGTGTGATCCAAAAAAGATTTTCAAGTAAAAACTTGTAGTAATTGTTGAAGTTCTATGACAAAAGTAAATGAAAATAATAAAAAAGATCAATGTAAATTTCCAAATGTTAGTTTATTCATGCTTTTTTAAAGGAATGATGGTGATAGTGGCTATCAGATTGCTAATGGTATTTAGAGTCCACTGGGTATGTTTTAAAACAGGGGTGGGGAATATCCAGCCCACTGGCCATAAAAGGCCCTCAAAATCATTTGGTCTGGCCCTTCCAAGGCATTAGGGTGAGTTAAATGCTTGACCAAATATAGCAGGCTAATTCTGTTTAAATATTTATTTTTGAAAGTATTACATATGTCCCTAGCAGGCTAATTTTTAAGTTGATAATTTTGTATGGCCCACAAATGATGTTATAAATATCCAATGGCCCTTGGCAGAAAAAAGGTTCCCCACCCCTGTTTTAAAAGAATGCCATACAGTTTTTGTATACCATACCAGAAATTAGATCTCTGCAACTCCTTAAGCTTAATATGACAAGTCTTAGATCACTTCAATGTGACAGGAGGTACATACTTTTTCAAAATTATTTTAGATACACGAGGAAAAGATTTGAAGACCACAAATAAAACCTATCCTTTCAATAGAACAGGTGAGAAGAGCTGTCAGACACCACCAGCAGGTAGAGCAGCAGTTCTCAACCTGTGGGTCGAGACCCCTTTGGCGGTCGAACAACCCTTTCACAGGGGTCGCCTAAGACCATCCTGCATATCAGATATTTACATTACGATTCATAACAGTAGCAACATTACAGTTATGATGTAGCAACAAAAATAATTTTATGGTTGGGTCACAACATGAGGAACTGTATTTAAAGGGCCAGAAAGTTGAGAACCACTGAGCTAGAGGGAGGTGGGCCGAGGGTCAGGACAAGAGAGACTAACCCCACTTAGAGCTGAGTAAATGGATATGAACACAAAGACGTCAGGGGATTGATGGAGCCAGCTTCCGGTGAGGGAATGGGCAGAGGACAGCCTTCTAGTTATCTTGAAGCTCAAAGTTTCAAAAATAAAATTCTCTAATTTACTGAAACTCATTCCAAACAAGTAACTTTACCATTTACAACTCTCCCCACTTTTCCCATTTCCTATCAAAATTTACTTTTGAAGAGAAAACGGTTTTTATTTTAAATATGAATAACGCTAATGCTAATTTCTAAAATATGAAAAGTAGTCAAATTAATTTAATCATTAAAATACTCATATGTTTTGAAAGACGTAAACTACTACAAGCATCTAAGCAGCCAGAAATAAAAATTGCTGAGGGAAGAACAGGGGTGAATGACTGAGCACTTGTGACCCTATAAGGTAGGTAGATATTATTTCCATTTTACAAATGGGGAACCTGAAATTCAAAGAGGTGAAGTAACTTATCATTACACGAATACATGGCACAGTCAGAGTCTGGCCCAAGCCTGACTCTAAGGAGGAAGCTTACTATTTTCTACCCAACTACGTGGCTCAAGGTTGCTTCTGAATCAGAGACTAAATTATGTTTAATTACTGAATGGTAAGTTTACTTTCTCATGGTCTAATTCTTTGAAAAGCAAGCCTATGTATTAGCAGCACAAACTAGGAATCTAAGAACGTTTCACTCCTTTACTATAATGGGTAACAATAGCTTAATAGAACACAATAAACCAAGAATTTTTCCTCAGTTATTGATATCAAATGTCCTTCAACAGAAGAATATGCAATTCTCTGTGGCTGCTTGAGTTCTACTTGTAAAATATTAGACATAAATAAGCTTATCTGGACTGAAAAGGAAAAAAAAGCAAGAATACACAGCAAAAGTAAGGATTCTAATCCAGTGAATAAATGAGGAGTATGTATCTTTATTGAACAGCTGAACATTTAATTTTAAATGCAGTATATTTTTCAGGAATTTAGGTACTAAAACCATTTTCTTTTTACAAAACTCTGGAACATGAACCAAATTCCATGATTAATTGAATGATTCAGTGACTCAATATCAAACACCATGCTGTTGCTTAAAACCAATAAACTTATTAGGAGGAAAAGCACACTTACCTGATAAGCACGTCATTAAGCCCAAGGCAAGCATAGCACCAGCCAACACTGTCAAACGGTTATAGCGCATTGCCATAATGGCTGCTATAAAAAATGTCTTATCACCCAGTTCAGATACAATGATAACTGATATGGCAGCGACAAATGCATGGATAAACCCCAAATTAGTTTGGGTATCTGTATCTTCTTTATTGGTATGAACTGGGACAGCTGGTGTGAGTCCTTTCTGAAATAAAAAAATATATATACATCAGCTATTTTTTTAAAGAAGTCATTATTTACAATTCTTTTAGTTTGTATGTGAATTAAGATGTTTTTTACTGTCACGGTCATTAGACTTATTTACTATGTAATCACTTTGAAAGCCATCAGTAATGACAGAACCCTCTAATTGATGATTGCTACAATGCAGATCCAAGTACAATTCTACAAAACAATTTTTAAATAACTGTAGACCAACTATATCCACACATAAAAATTACCTTATTTTCTAAGAATTTGTGAGCTGAGATTAAGTTCTTAGCTTTTTATTTGTAACTGGTGTGAAAGACCAGGGTATGCTTATCAAATATCCAAATAACAGGAAGCTGAGATAAATTTCATTAACACTTTAGAGGACAGAGTAAGATTCAGAAAGCTCTCAATAAGCTGGAGCAAGAGTTGACTGTAGCTAAGATGAGGTCTAATATAGCTGGATATATCGATGGTCCTACACTAACAGCTAAAAATATCCTAAGAGATAATATGGCCTGATAAAAAGACAAACCAGTGCTTTGGTTGATATTCAAGTTGAAAATGTGACAAAGCTCCAAAAGGGCAACAAGCACTTTAAAGCATCGGCCGCCAACTGGTGGTCCGTGAGGTCCAAAAGGTTGGTGACCGCTGCTTTAAAGAGTTAGTGACATGTCCATCATTCTACGATGCTCATTCTTTACCAGTGGTTCTCAACCTTCCTAATGCCGTGACCCTTTAATACAGTTCCTCATGTTGTGGTGACCCCCAACCATAAAATTATTTTCATTGCTACTTCATAACTGTAATTTTGCTACTGTTATGAATCGTAATGTAAATATCTGATATGCTATATGTGTTTTCCGATGGTCGCGACCCACAGGTTGAGAACCGGTGCTTTACCCAAAGTTGCACACTGGTTCTGAGGCACCACATTTTTAATATTTTATTTTTTATTAATGTTATTTGTTAATTCATACTAGAACCGGTTCTGAGGCACCACATTTTAAGAAAAACTAATCATAAAATTTATATGGAACCACAAAAGTCCCCGAATAGCCAAAGGAATCTTGAGAAAGAACAAAGTACGGATCATGCTCCTTGATATCAAACTATATAATAAAGCTACAATAATCAAAACAGTATAGTACTGGCATAATCACACACACACACATCAATGGCATCAACTAGAAATAAATCCTCACTTATAGTCATCCTATAACAAGGGAGGAAATAATATACAATGGGATAAAGACAGTCTCTTTAGTAAGTGGTGCTGGGAAAACTGGACAGATACAAGCAAAAAAATTAATCAAAGATATGATTCATGCATGCACATGCACAGACACAGGCATATTATGAAATCTTGTCATTTGTGACAACATGGATGGGCCTTGAGGATATTATGCTAAATGAAATGTCAGACAAATACTGTATGGTTTCACTTACTTATGGAATCTAAAACAAAACAAAACAGAAAATAGACTATAGATTGAGAACAAGCTGATGGTTACAAAGGGAGAAGAGAATAAGATTATATCTATATCTATATATTATCTATCTACCATCTATCTATCTATAGAAAGAAACCAATTCCTTGTAGGCTCTAAGTCTTCAGATAGATACAACCAGAAAGCACTCTGCAATTATGCATTCACTACCCAGAAGTATAGAGTTAACAACTGTGGGGCAATCTCTGACGGATGAGGGAAGTTGGTTCTGAGGTTCATTCTATAAGGCTCCTTCACAGTCTCAGCAGAATTCAGTACTAGTCACTCATGCAAAGGCTAACTTGAAAATGCAGTGGAGTACATGCATTTACCTCCTTCCCTGGACTGACAATGTGAAAGAATACTGGCATGTTCTGAGAACAGGAAGCAAACCATCAGATGAATGATTGGGGTAGCAAGATAAAATAGGGCCCAGACTGAAAATCCTGTATGGTTATGGCCCAGCTTAGAGGCAAGCAAGAAGCCTTTAGAAGTTTTTGAGTAGAAGACACAAACATGATTAAAGCACTGTGACTTATACTACTGTACATCAGGGCTAAAAAAGAATACCAGCCACCAGACCAATTAATTAGGAAGTCAGCTGCTCAAAACCAATGTTAATAATAGGGAAGGAAAAAAATTCTGTACATTATGGAAAGAAAATAAACAGAACTTTAAAAAGAGGGGAGAATCAAAGATGATGGTTAAGGTTTTCCATCTGGTTGACTAAGAGAAATACTAGTATTCCTACAAGATATGTGGGAAAGAGGAATAAAAATAAGGGATTTGGTTTCAGACACATTCAATTTGAGGTGATAAAAAAGCATTTCAAATGAAGGTTTCCAAGAAGTCATACAAATGGGACCCCTGATTTTAGCCTCAGAGCATGTATCTGGGAGCCTAAATTTATCAGTTAGAGCAAGTAGACGAAATTCCCATAGGAAAAGGCCTAGAGATTAAGTTGAAAAGCCTTAGGGAATGTCTATTTTTAGGGAAAAGGGGGTGGGAGAAGAGAAAGAAAACAAAAACTGTCTTAGATATTTAGAAAGCCAGGCAAGAGAACACCACAGATGGTCAAGATAGGAACAAACACCATTCACTGAGCTACTAACTAACTAGATGCCAGGTATTTTCATATACATTGTTCAAATACTCAAAACCTTAAGAACTGTCATCCAACTTAACACAAGAGGAGTAACAGAGGACCAATAATGTTAAATAATTTTTCCCACGTTCATACAGCAAAGATGGGGTCCAACTCTTCAAAAAGTAGAGAGGTAACAGTGTCAAAATGAGAACTGAAAAAGAGCCCTGCGTTTAGCAATTAGGTAAGGTAAAGTTATACTTCAAAAATGAAATTTCAATAAAAAGACAGGGGCTCAGCCCTAGCTGGGTGGCTCAGTTGTGGAGCACTGTCCCATACAACAAAAGGTTGCAGGTTCGATTCCTGGTCAGGGCACATACCCAGGTTGCAGGTTTGATCCCCAGTTGGGGCACGTATGGGAGGCAACCGATCAATGTTTCTCTCTCACATGGATTTTTTTTCTCTCTGTCCCTGCCCCCTCCCCGTCTAAAATCAGTAAAAACATTTCCTCAGGTGAGGACTAAAAAAAGGAATAATAAAAAGACAGAGGCTCAAGCCAGACAATGGAAGACTAAAGCAAAGTAAAAAAGCAACTAATTTCCTAGATAGAAATTTGGTTGATAAAACTGAATAGAAACTACAGGCATACCTCAGAGATACTGTGGGTTCAGTTCCAGACTACCACAATAAAGCGAGCCTCGCAATAAAGCAAGTCGTAATCTTTCTGCTGGTGAAGGGTCTTGCCTCGAATTTGTAAAGAGCGCAACACCTGTGAAGCGCAACAAAGTGAAGCGCAATGAACTGAGGTATGCTTATAATGCAGTCAAGATGAGTTAAATCAATGGCCTTCTTTCTTTGCCCAAGTAGGAAAGAACCTATGGGCATGTGTATGCAGACAGGAACCAATAGAAAGAATAAAGATATTGAGGAAGAAAAATACTGGAGGTCAGAGAATAGGCACATGGACACAGAGAAAAGGTATGGGAAGGATGATAGTTCTGTCCAGTCTAAAGGCAGAAGGTATGGGCAGAGAAGCAAATACTTAGATGTGTACAAGAGAGTCAGATGCGGTGACTATTCTGATACTCCACTCTTCAATTATAGTGTAATGAAATAGTAATGAAATACAGTGTTTTCCTTGGTACAAATACCACTATTTCATTTTATTTTCGGTCTGAAATCCAAAACATTTACATCTTGAAAGCAGGGTCAACAAATTATAATTAGAAATTAACTTGCTTTACTCAAAGTTAAAATTAGTTACAAACTGAAGAACTGTAAAAAGAAAAAAGTATGCTCATTTAGAAAGTATTCTTTTCTACTTTCATGATCTTCAAGGAAAAAAATAACAGTCAATAATGAAAAAATAATTCCTTCTAGTTCCAGAGTTCAAATGAACACATATGTTTGACTACTGAAACATAACAAGATACCTACATCAGAATCTTCATCTACACAAAATACTAGGGAAGATGAAGATACTTTCTTGGAAAAAAGACTGATATCCCTGCAAAAAAAATCAAAAAGTACTCAACAAAAGTTACCACACAAGAGGTTAGGTTATTTAAAGATAAAAAGAGTCAGAAGGAAATGCTTAGAATTGCCTTAAAACTGTCTCCTAGCCATTACTTTATTATCAGAAGCCAGGAAACCTTTTTCAGAAGTTGGAAAGTGTGCACAAAAATATACATTCAACTTCAACTATGACACCATGGATAAACCTGGTTTTTAAAAATTGCACTACAATAAAAGATTATATTTTATTATAAATTTTCACTATCGGTCCGGCTGGCATGGCTCAGTGGTTGAGTGTGGATCTATGAACCAGGAGGTCAGGTTCGATTTCCAGTCAGGGCACATGAGGGTTGCAGGCTCAATCCCCAGGAGGGGGCAGGCAGGAGGTAGCCAATCAATGAATCTCTCTCATATTGATGTTTCTATCTTTCTCTCTCTCTCCCTTCCTCCTCTCTAAAATCAATAAAAATATATTTCAAAAAAATAAATTTTCACTATCATTTCTTTTCATGAATGGTTTAGTCTGTTTTTTAAATATTTTATTTTTTATTGTTACTTGTTAATTCATACTAGAATAATACATATTTAACAAATACATTTTTATTTTAATGAATGTTTTAACAACTTTATTTTTATGAATGTTGTTTTTAATGGATTAATAAATTTGGACATTTGAATGTATTAAGTGTTTCACTGATTTTAATGAATTGCTTTGATGGTAGAACACCAGGCAATGAATTTGGCAACATAATGTTCACTTCATTCTGACACAGCAATCCTGAGCAAGAAAAGCATTCTCACATCTCCTGGCCTCAATCTTAGCTATAAAGCGGCTAGAACTGGGAGACTGGACTACAGGAAGCAGAACTGTTAACTTAATGAAAATGAAAAAAAGTTCAAATATTGTGTGGAAGGCCTTCTCACAGTTAAAAGATAATAAATAAAAGAAATGCCAAGAAACAGTAAATATCAAGAATTTGTACTGGGTCAGATAATAGGCTTTATCAACAGTGCTACTTAACCAGAACAGTTCTTGGGATTTCTAGAATATACAGCAAATTAAAAATTACCTTTATTAAATCTATCTAACCTCCCTCAACTAAAAGGACTTAATGCTTCTTATATTACATGCTCAGCTTAGGGAAGGAATAAGAAAAAACTGAGTAAGTCACTAGAAGCATTAACTGCATAAATGAATACAAATGATCAACAGTACTTCTATTCATGAGTTTGTATACTGGGGTTTAATTGTCAAGTTCAAAGTGAACTCCCCCAACTTTTATCTGATCATAGAGAAAAAAAATACCCAAAGTAGAAAGCTGTTAGAAATTCAGTTATCTTGCTTCAAAGCACCCTGTAAGATATAACTACATTTTAATAATACATCTTTCACTTGAATGATGACCAATAAAGGAGAGATTTCTCCCCCTCCATTTTCAGAAATCCACTGTCACAGTGGCATGAAAAGGGTAAGTTTAAATAGCCAACCTTTAAAAAATGTCTTCTAACATGCTGTAGTACTGTAAGTAGAGAAAATAGTTGAGCCTATCAAAAAATTGCATGAAAATATAATTAAAACAATTGGATTCTACTATGATATAGAAATTAGAATATATTCCTATCAAAAATATCAAGAATATATCAAAATATTAAAGACAAAAAATCATATATTGTGCCTGCCCCTTGCCTCCACATCCAATTTCAAAGACAAGGATCCTTAAGGCCACTTAAATATGCTCACTAGATACTGATGACTTTATTTTATAAGACTAGATTTTTCACCCAAGTTGTCTAAAGGGTATTATTTTGTATCTCAAAAGTCGTTGTATGACTAAAACTGTAATGAAAGGCCTAGAAAATTACATTCAAAATACCTCTCTCACTCACAAAGTTATTACTTAGCCCAAAATAATTATTGTTTGAGAAGAAAAAAAAAAAGAAACTTCCAGTGAGTTATATGACAGGAGGCTAAATGATAAACTCTAAGAATAAATGTCATGAATCAGCATTTCGGAGCTGGAAATGGCAAACAGGGTCAACTAAGCCCAGGAGCGAGGAGCCAGAGAGAAACCCCTTTGAACGCGGTAGGGAAGCCCTCCCAGAGGACAGGTATCTGCTGGTTCTTGGAAGGTGGGCAGGTTCTGACCAGTGGGCTCCCAGCCCACCCCAGCCTTTTTCGGGAGACCCTTTGTTGGAGAGCCTTGCCACGAGCACATGGCACGGTCTCCGGTTCGAGTGGAGCACGTGGGCACGGGAGCGGTGCCTGAAGAGCCTGGAGGCCGACTGGAGCCCGATCCTGCAGAAACCTGAACATCCTGCTGGAGAGGCTGGCCTGCCATCAGCAGGCAGGGGCCACTCGGGGAACATTTCCGAGAAGTAAAACTGAGCTCAAAGTTTAGGAAGATTCGCCGGGTGGCGACCGGCCCGGTATCGCCTCGGGTGGAAGGGGTGGGGGTGGGGGCTGGAGTGCCAGTCGCAGGACAGAAGACCTGAATTCAGGCATTCAAATGGGAAGTGAGGAGACAGCCCGGGACGGGTCTAGGGAGGAAATGCTGAGTTTGAATACAAGCGATTGGGTGGTTCTAGTGACATCCACTCAGACATTCACGGATCCCTACTTAGCGGAGGCCACGGGACGTTCCGGCGCACGGACACGTCGAGCGGTGGCACCCTCGCCGCCGCAGCCCTCGGGGCTACCGCCCAACACTGGCCATCCCTCTGCGAGCCTAAGGGCCGCTTCCCGCAGGCAAGAGCACGTTCTTAAAAAGTGAGAGTCACGCTCCAAATACCCAGGTCCATTTGTCAAAAGACAAGACAAAAAACACAAGTCCGGCAAAGCTGAATTGGGGCCAACAGCTCGGGATAAGCTGCTCCAACAATGCAAAGCCCGGCGTTCTTTTGCCCTGGGAATAACGAAAAGCCTCCCGGCTGCCCTCGGGGCTCAACTTCCCGCTCGGGACGAGTGCTCCCCGCTCCCCGCGCCACACCGCGCATCTGGCCGACCAGACCCCGTTCCTCAGCAGCATCCC